AATAATCTATAGGGCTTAAAGAGCTAAGGATTTAACACTCATCTTACCTGAGCTGAGCCAGAGAGGGCTGCTATTTGGGAGAAGTCGGCTCCACAAACTTTGAGCTGGTCCAGAAGCAAGTCAAGAGCCTTAACCCACATGAGGACTGGGGCAGTAACAGTCTTCTTGTCCTGTCTGACAACTCCACTGTGAGTCCTGTAACATATCAAGTCAGAGGTTAGTAACAATAGTACAGTAAATCCCCTATGATCCAACATCATACCATTTTATCATTAGATTTCTATGAAACAAATGAATGTTGGGTACATTCAAAAAGAGTTATCCGGATAATGCTCAAGCTAAAGAGGGATGATTCAGAAAAAAGAACATGCATTAAAAATGCACTTAAACTTCACTTCAAATTAGAAACCCTCTTCAATGCAGGTAAAATATTTTTTTAATGTATCACCTATAACCTAAAAATAGAAAGATTTTTATGAGTTTAAGAAATTACTTAAAGATTATATATATTAAATTTGGCTATTTATTCTTTTGGAGAGTTCTCCACCCCCAGGCATTATGTTATTTTTATTTGGTATTTTAAATTAAAAATTGGTACTACTACCGTTGCTAGTACTCGTTTAGACTTTTCTATATATCACATTTATACTTATAAATTAATAATGATTAGATTATGAATATGAATCCCTTCCGCAAAACCACGTGAAGTTTGTATGTGATTGGAAGTCGTGAGAGAAAAACACTAATATGTCGAGGTATGTCTTCTCCAGCATTGATGATGATTTTAGGAGCATCTGGATTATTGAGGTTCTACTGTATTTCTACTAAAGTAGGCCTACAACACAGAGAGTAAGACATAGAAAACCTAAGGTTTTATGCTTATGGGAGTGGGACAACCATAAGCTTTCAGCTCTGGTATGTTGGGGCGGAAATATAATTGTGACGAGCAGGGAAGAGCCCGAATGGTGAGCACTGTGTGTCTGTGGTTCTTTCTCTACCTTGAGCATTGTAGTACATGAGGGCGAGGGGGGGGGGATTGCCAGGGCCGGTTCTAGGAATTTTTCAGAGTTAAGCGAACACCCGAATCAGCGCCACTTAGGATTCCCCCCACCATCACCCCCCCCCCAAACCAATAACATAACATAACCGTATTTGTGAATTTTTTCCCAATAATTTTGGGAAGAATTTTTCAATGAAGAATACTTGCAATAAAAGGCTGTTTATTATTCGCAGAAATTTAACATTTTTACAATTTTACTCATCATATAAACTTTAGCAAAACCAAGGCCACACAAAAAACAGGCTTTAATGCTCATCAAGCATGACGTCACGATAGAAGACGGCAATGACGTAATGTTTGCCGTTTGTGATCAGCTGCTTGTGTTAATCTTTCCTTGGAAAATAAATAAATAAATACCTAAATCATTTCCGTCTTCTATCGTGACTTCTTTGGGCTAAATGGGGTCGCCACCAGATGATTTAAACAAAAATCTACTCATTGATTTGGCTTGTTTTTTATCTTCCTCTTCCAAATTCGCCTTACGCTTTCTATAATAAGTGCCAGACGGTTTCTTTTTTCTGCCATTGTTTTCTTAGTATCGGCTCGCAAGATGTTTTACTCATTCATTCAGTTTATACTTTCTTCTTATTTAATGCGCTAATTATAAATTAAACTTAAAGCACTCGTAATCATATACTTATCAACAATCATGAATCATCAAAACAATGCCAATACGATACCGATACGGTATACGTATACAACTAAAAGAGTGCAATACAACGTAATGCTCTGCTCTAGGATCAGAGCCAGAGGCAGAAGGGAGGGAAGGGAAGTTTCATGTTGTGTCAAGTGGCGGTGGGGCACACGGGAGGGACGATGGCTTAACATAGTGTCAGCCAGCGTTCGCCGCTAGAACCGCTAAGTCGAAAAATTTAAATTGATTTTATAATTTTAGTAATAAAATTAACTTTTAATTATAAAATTAAACTGTCATAACTAACCTAACCAACCAAACTTGCTAATAATATAAAAAAGATATAAGATAAAAATCAAATAAAGTAAAATCTTTGACAAAAAGTCAGCCTCTCGACGGGTCTTGAAACTCGAGACCTCCTGATCTAGTAAGATGCGCTATCAATTATGCCACGAACGCCACTGGAATCACATTGTCCCGTTACGCTAATCATGTCGCCTCAAGAGAAGACATTATAGCCACTAGAGATATGACGTCACCACACCTTTAGCCATTGTCCCTTCCGTATGCCCATCCGTGACAAGTGGCGCTGCGCGCTTGCTTATCTCGAGCATGAGCGAGTCGTGAAATGAAACCCACAGGCGCCGCGCTGTACGCTGCCGACTGCCGAACGTCAGCTCACTACAAATCGAAACTGCAAATGGCATTGAGTCCTTCAGTTGTAGTGCTGTACAAATATACACATTTTTCAAGTGCTGTTGGTACAAACAGAATAAATGCCTTTATTGTGGTGCTTTGAATACTTGAACTCTGAGCAAAAATAAACAAAATTACGTTGTTCACTTAAAAAAATTGTTCCGTTGGCGCCACGGCGCCACTTTTTCGTGGCGCCATATGCGGCCGTGTAGTTCGCGTATGGGTTAAACCGGCCCTGGGGATTGCGGGACTTTGCTCTAGACACCAGCACTAGTGGTAGACACCTCTTAAGCATACACACACATGGAGTGTATCCTCTGTTCCTTACTTCTCTGTGGGTACACCATAAAAGTGAAGGAAATAGTAACTAACGTTAATATTATTGCCAAACCTATATCTTAAAAATACAAAATGACCTTTCAAAGGTACCAATTTACAACCAAACAAAAAACTAAAACATAAAATTAGAACTGATATCTTCAAAACAAACAATAGCGCAATTTACTAACGTAAGTATCTGTTTCTCAATCTCAAATTGAAGCTGTAAAAATAAACAAAGATTAACAAGCCAAGAGCCAATAAAGACCATGACATTGTATTTACTGTATGAAATACGAGGAATGACTCAACGACACTCACACTGAAGCCGATAACTAATCGTTGCCGTGATCGACTAAGAGAGTTAATAACTTTATTTGGTTTTACGACCTTTACATCTACGTTCACATAGTCATATAGTAGCCTAGTTCATATTTCATTACAAATGTAACTAAAACCTTAAAAAATATCCTATTCTATGCTTAATATATTTAAAAAAAGTATTTTAAATAATTAATTTTCTTGACTTATGGAGAAAGAAGGTAAAAGTATAAAATGGAAAGTTAAATAACATGTTTCATAATTTCTGTTCTGACAAAAAATCTTCCAATAATAGTGCCGATAGTAACATAATTAAATAACATGATTATTGAAAATCGAGTTATTTTTTATATAGTACAAATTCAATAATAATCAACATTAAAATATAATAATTTGTTAGTCTTTGTTTTTATGAACAGATGTTTTATTTTTTAATTTATTTAAACAATTGAGAAGAGTTGTAGTAAGAATTTAAAAGTGATCAAGAACATACCATAATTTTGCTAAGGATAAATGTTTTAAATATTTGTTATTTATCAGAATAAAATCAGTTCTTTATTATTTAATAATTGTAAAAGTTCTTTATTTTACACGAGTTCTAACAATGATGGTATCAAACCATTGTTATAGATGCAAAATTAAGAATACAAAGACATAAAAACAAAATAAAAGAGCATATTGTTTAACAGCTATCTTTAATAGTTTAAAACTTTCACAAAGTTGTTAACATCGAGCCTTTCATAATACTTTTATGACTTTGAGATCATAAATGGCAGCTATAATGAGTTAATTTACTTCAGTCTTTTAGCCAAACATTGAGGAGTTCACAAAGGCTGTGATACTTGATTACAAGTTTAACTTCATCTATTGTTTACAAAGTTAATTAAGAGTTTAACATTATCTATTGTTACCTGAGTAAATTTCAAAATCTCAACCTTATCTTTTGTACTATCTTAATAGCGTTCTTAAGTTAATGTTTTGTTTTCTGTTAATCAATCTCTGTTCTGTTTTTTGCTAAAATACATTTTATTGTAAAAATGCTCTTTTATTTTCAATAATTTTAAGTTCAATAATTCAAGATTTAAATGCATCTAAACATGTTTTAGAATAACAACTAACTAAACCTTAGTTTAACAGACCTCTTCAACTTTTAATAATATTTAGTCAGACAACAGCATTTCTTAGGTAAGAGAATGTATGGAAGTCTTGTTAACCCTTACAGTTTTAATAATAGACTGGGACGGTGGCGTTGTCCTGTAATCCAGCTACTAGGAGGTCACGAATTGTGGATATTTTTATAGGCATGCACTGTGGATGCGATACTCCCTGGTGTGGATTAATGTCTGCACTAGTGAGTACTACGACTAGCCGCAGTACTATCCAGATAATTAGACCAATTCGTTAATACCAAGGCAAAAATGTGGTTCGGATCCCACTATAAACTGTAGGTCCCTTAGTTGCCATTAGCTATATCCTGTATAGGCTATTAATTAATAGCTGTGTCTAAGGCCTTAGTCACTAACAAGAAGACTACAAGATCGCGCCACTCATCCTACACTCATCTCCATTCATACTTGGCTAAAAATACCTAACCTACTTTGTATGGTCACCATTTCAATGAAATGGTACCAGAATAAATAATTCAATAACAACTTTGATACTAAAATTAGCACAATTGGATATCACAAAGATAAGAAGGTCAAAGGCTAGCAGGCATACAGTAACAGATTAATTTTAACTGTTTATGAACTAGGATAGTACCTACCAAATAATAATGTTAAGGCCTACTGGGATTTATAAAAATGCAAGCATCAGTTGATTAACATGGGAAAAAGTATACAGGATACAATGATTGGCCTACATCACATTAAAAATGTAACTTAATAGGAAATCAAAACAAATGTAGGAAAATGTATGGTTCATATTTAGGTTTCAATTTAGGTCTTAAAGCTGAAATGAAATATTTTGATCCCAAACTCTAATTCTGGTTCTGATGAGAGAAGGTTAATTAAGTGCCAAAATGCAGTTGGTTAATTTATTTCAGCAATTTTTAGCCTATTTCGAACTAATGTCTTAAAACTTAACCAAATTTCTGAACTAATTTCATAGATTAGTTGTCAATTGATAATACCTACGAAGAAGTGACAAACAAAAAGTTCTCTTGGAGTTCCCGATTACACTTTTTTTATACATAATGTTGTTGAAAACAACGGTGGCGGGGAAAGATTGTTGTGCATATGTGTGTCTCGCTCGCAACCTTTGTTTAGGGAAAAATTGGGACAACCGTCATAAAGGTCAGAAGGTGGGACTGTCCCAACAGAATCGGGACAGGTGGCAACCCTACTCGGATCTGAAACTCGTGCATATTTTGGTTTAAAATGTTATGGAATTTTAAGGCAGTGTCTTAGGCTCTGCGTCTTAGAATGACTATTAGAATAAGAATAAGAATGCTATATTGCCGTTACACTGGTTTACATGCATGGCACAGTCAAGGAAATGTCTTAGAACTAAGGTTAGAAGTGTATTAGAATGAATTTAGTATGAATTAATACAAATGTCCTACAACCCTTCTGCTCCAAGGTATTTAGTTTGGTAACCAAGCTACAGATGGAACTAAGATGCAATATAATAGGTCAACTTAACTTACCTGAACTCCGGCAAAACACTGTCGAACTGAACATTTGTCTCATGAATCACTTCAAGGTTTTTGTTTACAATCACTCCTTTTAACTGAAACATAAATCAATTTCATAAACAATAGTCAATAATATGGGACTAAACTTTTTGACAAAACATAGCCTATACCGCAAGGGTGTTAGGGCTTTCTGAAACAAGCAATACCATTAGTTGGAAGGTAAGTAGGCCTACGATAGGTTGTTCAATGTCTACAACACAATGTTTGTGTACCATTTATAAACCATTCAGACTACAAAGAGAATGTAAAATCAGAAAAAACTGAGACTTTGGCTGCAGTTGAGGATAATAAACATTCATCTTAGCATAGAGTAGGCAGCCCAAACCTTTTCTTGCTTACAGACTTTTGCTTGAGGTTTTTTACACACTTGAGTCGTCATTGTGTCTAAAAGATTGTTATGTTTGAGACATATTGTACGAAAAAAATCCATGTTATCAAATCAGAGCTTGGACACTGCTTGCGACATAATATGTCCGAGACATCATCTGAATCACACAAGACCGCGGATAGTTGTTGTTTTGTGTGACATGTTGTACGACATCAGGCTTAGCGCATGCACACTGGCAATCGTTCCTGAGCGAAAAGGTTATCCCGCCGTCTACAAAGCACATTTTGAATGGTTAACTGATCATAATGTTAAATTTCATTCTGAAATAAGTCTTGAACCATGTGAGATTATTGGTTCAGTGGTTGGGTCTTGACAAACTAGCTTGATCTCCACGTTTGCATAAAAAAATGGGTCAACCATACGAAAAACCAAATACCGTTGAAGCTGTTTTCAGGCAAGGATAGTATGTTAGGAGAAATGTCTCCATCATGCAAAAGACATAAGACACACATTACTTTTTCTGTTTCATCAGACACGACATATGCGTGCAGCATATATATATATATTAATTTGAACAAATGGCGTTTTTGGCCTCTGGGGACATGAAAACGAAAAAGCAAATCAGTTCTGGGTCTAGGTCTTACGATGGGACCTACGGTAATCGCTTATCCTCTGCAAAAGAAACTCACTAAAAACAATATATGTATAATTTGAGATATCAAGGCCTTCCATGGATCTATAATGAGCTATATTTTCATTCCACATTCACTGTGCAGAACGGGAAGTTCATGAGCTATGTATTTCTAAAAGCCATCCTATAATCATCAGAACCCTGAAAATACTCCTCTACTTTTGACCTTTTCTTAACACTTTTTACCATCTTACTAATTCTTACCTACTTTACCAGTTAGGGCCTAGTATAAAAATCCAAATAATAAAGTCAAAATACTGTACTAGTACAGTTGAAGCAATGTACACAGCAATAAACGAACATATTTCCAGCAATGTTTATTACATGAGTATCAGGTTAAGACCTCTACTGGACGGTGAACACGAAATGGAGTACAGAAGTGGCCCATCGAAAAGCAAGCCTTTGTAGATGAAAATGTGTCAAAGATGTAGGTGCAAAAGCACCTACAGGTGGCTCCTCACAGTTTGTAGCATTTTACTGAAAACCAATGATCTTTTATTGTAAGATTGCTTAAAGAGTTTGCAGAAGACCATGCACATTTCCACAATGAGACAGTAGGTGTTCAAAAGCCAGAAGAAACTTTTCTAGCTGATCGGAGTGTTGCAACTACCAAACACAACGGGTGGACATAGGTAAAAATATTTGTATTAAATAAAAAAAAACATTCTGGAAGATGCCTATTCTAATCGCTTGTTAGTTTGTTGAGAAGGATCATCTGTTGAGACTCAATGTTGGAAAGCATTAGGTTGAACAAAGACAAAAAGAATGGACATCTGTACATTGATTATCGTTTGATTAACTGTTCATGAGACTTTAGACATCTTTGACAAGAAAACCAATCAAAACACTGCATTCTTACCGATCTAGCCTATTTTATAGCAACATCTACAGTATATCATATCAATAAGTGCATCATCTCTGACCATTAGTTATTATAAAATTAGGAGGATAATTTACCTAACCACAATTGTGTGCAGGCCTATCAAAGTGACCTGTGACATTATATGGATATCATAATACCTATGTAATATTGTAAACATAGCCTAATCAATAAACTTGTAAACCTGATTTCTAACTCCACCAACAGCATATGGCATCACAACCACTAGTACATGTAGCCATAAACCGCTCAAGGAGCTTAGAGATTAGATGATTTTGTCCTTTTACTGAATTACAGTAGACTCCCTCTTATCCGGACACCTTTTAACCGGACATCGGTTTAACCGGACTACACTCGGCGGAAATGACATCTCTTTAACCGGACAATTTTTATCAGCACATTGGTTTAACTGGACTAGATCGGCAGGAAGTGGGCAGTACTGAAACAACTGTTCACGTGGGAAAGATTTGAGACCAGTGATCACGTGTCTAAATACAATGCTATCCTAAATTTAAGCTGAATATCACAGTAAACAGTCCGTTGTAAAGAGTTTTTGGGGACGTCGGTTTAACTGGAAAACCCGTTATCCGGACTGGCCTCGGTCCCGAGGAGTCCGGATAAGAGGGAGTCTACTGTATAGGCCTACTACAATGGAATGCAGTGATTACCCAAGACATATTTTAAAGAGGTAGACAATTTGGTAAAACTTGTATATAGCCTACGACTCCACCACTTCATTTTATTACTGATTTTTTCAAAGAGGTTGGCGGTCTCTTTTAACCTTGCATAGCCCGTACACATAAGCCTCGGGCCTATGTGCGGAACGTATCCAGCAAAGCAAGGGGAGAGCCAGTACAGGACCAGGGTGAACTGTCATGATAAAAAGTATTGGCAGGTACCACGATTCGAACCCAAAACAATACTGCCTTGATTTTCTAAGTCTGTGACACTACCGACTAAGCCACCGACTCACCAACATATTTCTGTGAGTTAGCATGCGATAAATAAACTTAAGTTAACTTATTGATCTTGGCTAGGCCTACATTTAAAATTAGATTTAAATCTAATGGATTTGATTTAATGGTACAGTTATATTATTGTTATTTAATAACACTAGTTACGAATAAACATGTAGCCTATGGTTGTGGAAAGTTAAGTAGGACCTGGCCTAGGCCTAGTCACAGATTGAAAGAGATAAAAATACAAATAGGGTAGTTTATGGTTTGAAATTGTTTGTAAGATATAGTCTAACAGGCTATTTACGTTTTGCCAAACATGTTATAATTTTAAGTACTGTGAAATATTACACCTCAGAATAAAATAAAAATATTTCGTGTAAGATAACCAAAAAAGTCTCTAATGAACAATCTTGGGAGCTTTTAAATTTTGGTTTACCGGTATAACTTTTACGAAAACAATACATAATTATAAATAGGAAAACAAATATAAATCTTAAGTTTTTACTATTCAGTTCGTATATAGGTAGTCTACAACAAAACATGATAAGAGAAAGTATAGGGAGATGAGATCACCTGTTGAGTGCTGAAGTCTAGGCCCAAATAAGTAGCGTCTTCGTTTTCTGTCATCTTCGATATTCCTGAAGCAGTTAATTCTTGTTTCTACAAATTTATCTTCAGTTTAAATTAAACATATAGTTGATTTCATGAAGTTAATTAGGGATGTTTACATAGCTTTGAGTATGTCTCAAGTGTTCATAACTTCCTAAACATAACATTGTTGTTTGGTTTGTCTGCTGCGCAGCAGCAGCAGTAGCAGTCTGATCTCTGACTCTGATGACAATCTCGAATCTCAGCTGACCTGCGCTGGTTGATTCAGACACATTACACAGGGAAGAGGAGGAGAAAAAAAGGACAAAGTTAGTTATACTATATCAACGTACTGTACTATATTCAATACACGTACCGCTAGTTATTAGTTGAGTACCTAGAAGATAAATTAATTACCTATGTATTGTTCATAATGCAATTTGGATTGTGTTCATTAAATCGAATTTGAAGATTGTTGTGGTGCGTGTATAATGCCCGATAAGTGGTAACGCTTGAGTGTGTTATTTATTTATTTTCAACGGCAAAAGCGAATTCCTCCAGTTTCTTCAACTGTTTTATGTTATATTACTAATATATTCGTAGATTTCATGGTGTTTGCTTTACTCTTTGCCTATATACTAGAGGATAGATATTAGTTTGAAAATATATTGTTGTCTTTGAGAAATTTAATAGCCCCCTTTAATACAATGCCGCGACGACTGGGGTGTTTCAGTGTGTGACAACCTCGCACCGGGATGGCTATTTCCTTCTATGGTAATAACAGATATAACAAATGTGTGAACATTAACATTACGCATACTCTCTACTCTCCCTTATGCTACCAGTTGGCCTATCCAGGAGGGTTTTGAACCCCCCTTGAACTTATAAAGTTATTATTTTACAATAAAATTTGTTTCTACAACTAAAAAATCTCTTTAATATGTCTCTTAATAGAATCGCATGTGAGGGCCTTTGGGCTGCTGTAGCGGAAGACGCAAAGCGTTTCCTCCTCCAATGGCGCCGTGGGATTTGAATTTGAATGAACCCGCTTTGAATGAAATAATTCGAAAACTATTTAAGACATCTTTATGAAACTTGATATACAGTTTTATCAAGTCATAATGTATTTTATGAAGAATAATCTCAAATCTGTTTCTGTTAAAAAAAAAAAACAGCCATTTTAAATTTTATAACTTTATTACTAAAAAACTGCTCATTTTATGAAAAAATACCCCCGCCGTAGCAAACCTGCCAACTAAGCAAATTTCCATTTGTCTGAATTGATTTTCAATGAAATATATTTAAATAACATTAGGTTTAACATATATATACATACAAATTTGAACGAATGGTGTTTTTGGCCTCTGGGGACATCAAAATGAAAAAGTAAATCGGTCCCGGGTCTAGTTCTTATAGTGCCACCTACGGTAATAGCTACTTCCCTATAGGGAAATTCGCTAAAACTCAAGAACACTTTTATTAATTTAGTATTTGACATACCCTATCAAACGACACCAAGTTTTAAATTATCCAATTACAAACAGCTGAGAAATGAAGATTTTTAGTTGAACAGGTCAGGGACCTGTTTCATAATAATCATCACACTACAATACTGCAAGTTAGAAGTTGTAACTTGTGATTTGCATTTGCGATCAGCTGATTTACTACTAATAACTTGAAAAAAAAACTTGCTGTTAGGTTTCGCCTCATTTAGCGCAAAAAATTTGTGACCTATAAACTATTTATTATAAGATCTTTTTAACTTTATGTAGTATAATATAAAATTATACCTAATAGCAAAATTGTAGTGTTGTGGTGCGTGATGCGCCAATGTTTTGGTAATAATAAAAAGTAACGCACGAAGTATGACTTTATTGATGTAGAAATAAACAAAAAATGATATTAGTGGACTGTATAAATGAAACTGTGATGAATAAATTGCTAGATCGAAACGAATGCGGTTGTAACTAAATGGGTTAGACTAGTGAAATACGTGGAGGGATCTGCCTCTTGCGTCCTGTATGATGCTATGCGAATTTAGCAACGTGATGCTCGTGACAAAAGGTACCTCCCTCGCCCCAGACTGGTGTTACAGCAATTCCAAGAACTGGCGAGGAAGTGCCTGTCCTTTCGCAGAAGGACGATGTTTATGACTCTGTGCTATATGCCGACAAGTGGCCCTAGCAGAACGAACTTTAGACTCTACATTTTGAATATGCTTAACTATTTACTTTACATTATTTATTCTAAGAACATAAATGAAACTATAAATAATCATGAGACTAAACAAATAGTAATAAACATAGTTTTTTTATACAACTTAAAATTATCGCCATTTTAAAACAGAAAATATTTTTGTAATGAATAATTTTTTGTAAAAACATTATGACTTGATTAAAGGATATGCTAAGTTTCATAAAGATGTTTTTTTTTTTATTTGTTGAGAAAAACATTTAGAATACAAAAAAACTAAATTGTATATCTCGCTAACGAGGCATTTTTGGAAACGTTTTATTCTAGATTTTCATTTAATTTTGACGTATTGAAAAAAATCCTGAATTCTCGTACTTACATATGGGACAGCCTTTTTACATATGTTATTGGTCGAAGGTCTATGATGGAAATTACATTGTACGTCTACTTACACTACTAGTCACTTACCCTGATATCTTTTATGATGTTGATCGTTAAAAAAACCTAATAACACCAACACAAAACTCTGTTGATAAATAACTAAATGTATTGATGAAATTACTGAAAATGAGCCAATATTGATCCAGAAATAATTTTTAGTTATGTATCTTCTAGGATCTTTTTTTTCATTTTAAAATTTATTAAAAGGATAACTCCTCATAACAATAAGTAAAATGAGTCTGTTGGCGTATTTGAATAGAAGACAAATAGAATGTTATGACATCACTGACACGGATTACATAAAATTGAGTCCAGTTTTAATGTTGACTCTGCATTTAATATTTTTAGTCTTAAGGTTATACCTGCATTATTTATTACAGTTCGGTACTGGATTCATCTAAGCATAGGCAGGCGTTAAACTGAATCTTTAAGCAATATTCACCTTATTGGTAAAACTAAAGTGTAGTGAAAAAAGTAATGTCATATAATAATGTTATGAATTAGCTCTTATGTTTAGTTGTGAACTCATAAGGTTATAATTAGACAATAAATTCTCTTTACAAACATGTATTTTTATTTGTGCATTACAGTAAATAGCTTCAATAAAACTCTAAATCAATGTAACTTTCTATTTTTTACAACATATACGTTTAGTAACCCTCTTTCTCACTGAGCACCGAACTACACTTTATAAAAATACAGTGATGTCAAAAATGTAAATAGCTAAATACTGTAAAACTTGGATTATTGAATTGAAATATGTTATGATACAAACCGACAAAATATAATGTTCGTGATAGTATTACGTTTTACAAGTGCTTAATCAAAACAATTTCCTGGTAATATATACACCGTTCAACCCCTTTCATGTTACAAAATTTCCAATGGGTAGTTTCCATTTTGTAATACAGCCCCCTGCTTTTTCTACCAAACGTACCCAAGTCTTCGTATCCTTCGATTAAATCGTACATTGGGGAATATTCCAGGCATTGTTTAGTGACCATGTCATAAAACAATACAACACATGCCTTTTCCATGTCTGACATTCTATCTGTTTTTACTTTCAGCCTTTCCATTAAAATCTCATTAAAACCAGTGGTTTGACATTTTTTGGACGACAGGCATGTTTCGATTGTCGATTCACCAGGTAAAATAATAATTTGGCTAGGTATATATGTCGACGGTGATCTAAAGTATATTCCTGTTGCCAGCTTCTTTTCCTTCGTTGACCATGGTCTTCGTCTCTTGTAGCTTTGCATTTTAAACAACAGTTCAACCTCTTTTGCTTTAAATTGTAATTCCTCCATTGCATTTTTCATACAGACCTTACTCCTAACTTTGACCAGTTGTGTCCAGGCTAGTAATTTGAGCTCTTTTTGGTGCTAGAATCTTATTTCGAGCTTTGTTTTTTCTTCAAATTGCTTTGGAGATACAAATAAAGTCCGTTTTACTATTGCTTTCTACTAGCAGGTGTACCAGAATTGATCAACTGGTGCACGGACGGAGACATGTCTTCAACGCAGAAGTTAGCTGAAGATGTACTAACAGCTGATGGAGATTGTTCTTCTGTCATCTTCCCTGGATATCTCTTCGGAGATTGACGGCTTCGCTTGACACAAGGAGATGGACTTTGAGACGACGAGTAGGGTAGTGGTACTGCACCTTTGATAAGACCATCAACGATCACATAAGGCCAAGAAAAAACTAAGTTGACCGCCATATTGGATAATGGTGGCCATCTGCAAACATTTTATTTACTTATTTTTAAACCTCATTAAAAACAAGGGAATGTTCCCCATTTAAAGTTTACCGTAAGATGTATCGTTTACAAGATCCCAATGGTGGCACAGCTTAAAAAACACCCTGTATAATCTGAGCTGTAGTTTACCAAAACATGAGTAACATTAAAATCCACCTATGCTCCTGTGAACCGACCTTAAATTAATTTAATATTTGGACAAGTCTTTGTATGACTACTGCTTGGAGCAATAAAGAAAACTTTCCTATAAACATTTCGTCTTTTCATTTATTTCCCTATAGACATTTCGACTATAAAAAACCTTGGTTTGGCATCCTCCAACCAATCCTGACTCCGTTTGTATTTGGCAAACAAAGGCTCTGGTAGATCATTTAGAGAGTTAACCTTGACATAGACAAGAGTCTGCATGTCAAGAAGAACCCTACTAAATGTGAGAATGTCTGGTTTACAACTGTAGAAGTGTGTTTGAAAACGAGACAATTCACAAGGCTGTTTGTCACGCAGGACCGTTCAAATGAAGTCCACATATGTGTGGTGGATCTCGAGCCTACCTCAATTTTAAACGAGGTAGACAAACTTCTGCCCGTCCGGAATCTCCGCCATAAAATATTGATTTCCATCTCCTTATGGCTCAAGAAGGGGATGCCGAAAATCGCTTGAAGCCACCTTGCTGTACCTCTCCGGCGTTGTTGTCACCAGGGTTCTATAGACTCCGGCCAACCCCAAGCTTTGAATTATGTGAATCCTGTGAATAAGAAGTGTAACGTGTAATAAAATAATACTTTTTTGTATAC